GCATTGCATCTGGCCTTGGCATCTAGGAGCCGTGGTCTATAGGAGGGGTGAGACTGGCTTGCATAGCATGGAGTTGTGTGCCGAGGGGGTTGGGGGGGGCAGTGCCCCCCTGTGAGAGAGGAGGCTAAAGATGGTCTTGGACCAGTGGGAACTAAAACAAATGACACGTTGCAATGGGCTGGGCAGCTGGGTCACGTACCACGGCTGCATGATCCGCCCTGGGGCTTTCTTTAGCTACAAAAATCCTCAAAATGAGTCTGTTTAACATCTCCACCTGGCAACAGAGCTGGAGAGAAATGCAGAGGGACAGTCCCAGCTGCCCCTGGCTTCTGACAGCAGACCCTACCGTGCTGGTGCCAGGACTGGAGTAGCTAGGAGCTTCTTCCCTGCCCCCTACAGCACCTCCTGCTGGGCAAGGCTGCTCCTCTCCAGAGCCAGCACCCCCTGGTGGGAGAGGAACCACTGTGAGCACCCTGCCGGGCTGGGAGTAATGGCCTTGATTTTTCTGAGCTGCACTTGGAGGTGGGCGGGGTGGGGACGTGATCATTCCTCTCTATTCGACATTGGTGAGGCCTCATCTGGAGTACTGTGTCCAGTTTTGGGCCCCACACTACAAGAAGGATGTGGAAAAATTGGAAAGAGTCCAGCGGAGGGCAACAAAAATGATTAGGGGGCTGGAGCACATGACTTAGGAGGAGAGGCTGAAGGAACTGGGATTGTTTAGTCTGCAGAAGAGAAGAATGAGGGGGGATTTGATAGCTGCTTTCCACTACCTGAAAGGGGGGTTCCAAAGAGGATGGAGCTCGGCTGTTCTCAGTGGTGGCAGATGACAGAACAAGGAGCAATGGTCTCAAGTTGCAGGGGGGGAGGTCTAGGTTGGATATTAGGAAAAACTATTTCACTAGGGGGTGGTGAAGCACTGGAATGGGTTCCCTAGGGAGGTGGTGGAATCTCCTTCCTTAGAGGTTTTTAAGGCCCGGCTTGATAAAGCCCTGGCTGGGATGATTTAGTTGGGATTGGTCCTGCTTTGAGCGGGGGGTGGGACTAGATACCTCCTGAGGTCCCTTCCAGCCCTGAGATTCTATGAACTGTTGCAGCAAGCCTGGGGTGAGGAGAGGGATTGAAAAGGGGGTAGAAGATAGAAAGAAGCCGGGGCAGCCGGCCGGAGTGGAGACAAGGCGAGGCAGGGGCGGAGAAGGCCCACGAGAACGTGACGGGCGGCAGTGAAAAGAGACGGACGCCGGCGTAGCTCTGCCAGTGCTGCCATGTTTATTGCACAGGATGGTCTGGATGAAAAAAAGGTGGATTCTCCGACGGAAACAGCCGCCAGTGCCAGTGCCACAATCCAGCCGTCTCCATAGCGACGGGGCGCTTTGATTGGCTTTTGTCACCACGCGTTCCGTTATCGGTTATACATTCAACATGAAAGGCGCAAGGATGCTAGGAATACAGGCGTTAGCACACACAACTCACCTGCCTCTGCCTTAGAAAAGGTACCGGTTACACGTTAGCATAATAAGGAGATTAGTAAGTAGTATCGATAATAAACACGTTGACCGTTTGCCCGCTCCTTGCCTTGTCCGCGGTGGATAGACGTCGAGGATTAAAGCAAGAACGCCTCATCGCCGGCCAGGCGTGACACAAATACTACTCACCAGGCCAAGGGGTTGTGCTGCCCCCCCCCAGCTTTTCGCTCCCTGTCCCCCATCTCATCAGTGCCAGGACAGGGCTGGCTTTCCAACAAGCCTCAGCCAGGAGGTCACAGCCCCCGCGGGCTGGAGCCGGCCGCGCCAGCTTTTGCTTTTAAAAACGCTTACGAATGGCCGCCAGTGCCCCCCGCCCCAGGGAACCGTGCATAAAAAATCCACGCACGAAGCACCAACGCACCCGTGCGACAAACTCAAATCAAAGGCGAGAAAAGCACTAAAAGGAGCGTCCCCTTCCTAAAAGCTCCACTCCTGCTGGACTAGAAAAACAGACGCTCTTCCTACAACGCCAAAGTCAGTCCCAGCACGTTGCCCCGGATGTTAAGAAACCTCCCGGGACTGTGCTCTTCAGATCCCCTTTAAGGGGAGAAAAATTATCACCTGCTTCTGCTCAGGTGAACCAACCTGAGTCTGAGATTCCAGGGAACACGTACCGTAGGGAGCCGTCACAAAATGCAGGAGGATGGGGACCCCCGGCTCTTTCCGGTCTTTCGAAAGCTTATGCTCAAATAAATGTGTTGGTCTCTAAGGTGCCACAAGTACTCCTGTTCTTCTTAAGGAGGGGAATGGGCTGGTTACTGGGCAACCCAGCTGCAAGTCCAAGTGCAGCTGCACCAAGCAGTGTTTGCTCCCCTCCCCACAGCGTCTTACCTGGGAGGAATCCAGGTAACACAAGAGATCGGGGGGCAGGATCCCTTTCGCCCCCAGGCTGAGCTGGCTTTGGCAGTCTGGCCCCTACCTCAGCGGTGCTGTTTAGACCACCACCAGGGTGGCAGACCACGTTTAGGGGCCCTCGCAGCAGGGGAGCGGGTGGGGCAAGAGCTGGTGCCTGCACTGTTGGGAGCCAGATATAGGCTGATTGATCACACACCTCTGTGAGTGGCACCTTCACAGTCAGTTCTGCCTCTGCTAGGGAGGCCAGGCTGGAGACAGGAGCAGTCCTGTTACCTCTCAGGGTGGGAAATCAGTGAGCGTGAGATCTTCCCCCTACCAGCCCTGTACATGGAAAGCAGGAGGGAGAGACACCCCCCCCCACACCCCCAGGGCTGGTCCCCCCCCCCCCCCCCCGGCCCTCAAGCAGCTTCTTCTCCCCCCCCCCCAACAACCCCTGCCTTCCAGATGCAGACAATGCGGCACCTCCCCACATAGGCAGACGCACACGGGACGAAAGACGCACACAGCAGGCCCAATGGCGAGAGACAGACACACACATGCAGACACCACAGACGCTGGGGGGGCGCTAAACACTGCGAGGCAGCTGGAAGGGTGGGGGCAGCTGGTCCTGGCAAGACGTGGTAACCCCCCCCCCCCCACACTCCTTGCGCTTCAGCTACAGCGATAGGCCCAAGCTGCCAAGTTCAGACCCAAGCTCTCCCAAGTTGGGCGTTTGGCTGTGGAGGGAAGGAGGGGAGGGGGGGGGTCATTTGACCCAGCCTCTAATGCTGTCCCCTTGGCTGGTGTAGCCCCCAAATCGAGGGGCTGATGGGAAGTGGGGGCCCACTGCCAACCCGCTCTGGATTCATCAACCACAAAGCCCTCGCCCCATTTCCTTTCTTCCTAAGCTAATGGGGATTTTGCTCCCCCCAGCACGACGGAAGCTCGCTCCGGAATTAGCTTTTCTAGGACAAAGCAGGAGCCCCCGGTGAAAGGGGGTTTGCTCCTGCACCCCACACACAGCCCCAGGGGCCGGGCTAGAGGCTGAGTAGTATTTGTGTCCGCTGGCTTATTGCAGTGATGAGGGTGGCAGGAGGGAATGGACGATGCTCGCCGAGCCCAGCGCTTTCCGTTTCAATATTGCACTTGAAAACCAAACAGCCGCCCAGGTTGCAAAGTGCCAATGTCAAGAGGGGGCAGCCACCCCCAGAGACGGTGCCCAGCCGCCTCCTGGAGCCTGCCTGCTCTGCCAGGAGTCCCCAAAGCCAACCCTCTCCTCGTCGCATCCCCGACCCCCTCATGCCCGGTGCTCACTTACCTTCAGTGTCACCTAGCAGCCTCTCGCAGAGGCTGGTATGTGAATTGATGGTACTGTAGGGACAGCAGGGAAGGGATCCAGATGCAGGTTCTGCCAGGGGCTGAGCACACGACTCTCCTGCCAATGAGAGCAGTAGTGCCAGCATCCCGGAAGGGGCGTGTGGGGCCCACTGATAGAGAGAGATCAGAGCAAGTTTTCCCTAGGACCCTGGACCCTCCCATGGGAGAAGGGGTGTCAGTGCCCAGGAGAGCTGGCTCCAGGCTTTCAACTGTTCTCAGTGCGCGTCCTGGTGTCTGCAGGAGCCAGCTGGGATGGAGGTGCCAGGCAGCTGTGCCCTGGGAAGGTGAGGAGACGGGACAGCAGAGCGCAGGGATGCTAATAATAATAATAATACTTTGCCCATCTCTGTTGCAAGGCTCGCAAAGCACTTTAGTTCCCAACCCCTCATGCTGTCATGTAGGTAAGTATTATTATCCCCATTTTACAGATGGGAAAACCGAGGCACAGAGAGGTGAGGCGACTTGCCCAAAGCCACACAGCGAGTCGGGCCAGAGCCAGGGACTAGACCGCCCGGTCCCTCGCTCTGCCCGTTAAACTATGTGGGGGGAGGATGGGAGAAGAGGAGGATGGGGAGGGGGGTGTTGAGCAGCTTGACATTGATTTTTCTATTTAAAACATAGAAAACATTCAGCGAGCGAGATGGGAACTGGGGCCTCCCGGCCCGGGCGCCCCCTCCCCAAGCCCCCGGGCCAGGCAGCAGGGGCTGGAGGCCGCTCCTTGGAACAGAGCAAGGGAGGTGTACGCAAAGGCATGGGGGGGCCGGGGGGGGCGCGGGGGGGGGGGGGGCCCAGACTGGAAGTGGGGCTAGGGATTGCACTAGCCCCTGGGGGAAGAGATCCCCTCCTCTCTGCCTCTGATGCCAAGGGGGTGGGGATGAGGCGATGAGCTGAGGGGGAGCAGAGAGCGGGGGTGGGGACGAGGCGACGCGCTGGGGGGGAGGGGGATGAGGCGACGCGCTGGGGGGAGCAGAAAGGAGCCAGGGCACGAGGCAGGGGCAGGATGAGGTTTGCGGGGGGGGGCAGAAGCGTCCAGCCCCAAAGGCTAGCCCAGCAAGGGCAGAGGAAGCGCCAGCCCCAGGGGCCTTTGCAGACAGAACCACTCGGCCAAGGCGCCCGTCTCCTTCCAAATCTCCCCCCCCCCCCACATCCCCGCGTGTGGCACAGGGCTCGGGCTGGGTACAGGCCGGTGCCAGGAGGCAGAACACGTTGGGTGGGGAAGTTGGCAGGGCCTGGCAGGGGCTCAGCCCCCTCTGGCTACTCCTCCCTCTCCCGCCAGGCCCCGGGGTGGGCGACCCGTTCCACAGAGCCCTGCGCTGTCGCAGCGCCTGGCCATACGGTGCGTGTGGGCTCCCATGGGCGGCCCTACGAGGGGGGCCCTGCGCACACAGCTATATTCATATATATATATAATATACAGATTTCATAATCAAGAGATTAACTAGTTATGGCTTCTATGGTGCAGTCAGTGGGTTCGGATGGACGATGCTCTTCACACGGGCGGTGGCAGCGGGCGATGGGGCTGGACTTTGGTCATAGATGATTCATCGGGGGGCGTGTGGGAGGCTCGACTGGACCTCCCCCGGCCCAGGGAACGGCAGGGGCCTCTGTCCACGCCCCTCCTACCCTGGCCTCCCCGGGCAAAGCGTGTGGAAGCGACGCCCGGCTGCTGTGCTCTGTACAGAAGGGGGCAGGCCCCCGCTGGGTCAGAAGCCCCGGCCGCAGGTTTAGAGTCAGGTGGTGGCGACCCCCACGGTCGGCTCTGGGGCTCATTAACCCTTTGATTTCCACTCCCCTAGGGAGCGGGCCAGGGTGAGGCCTTCGCCAGTTGGAAACAAGCAGGCGGGAGCGTGGAGACGGTGGAAATTGCTGCTGCTTGGCAGCCCCACCGTTACCCCCCCTGCCCGGGATCAGCGGGCAAGGAGCAAAGGTCACAAGTTGGAAGAGAGCCTGGATTTGGCTGGGTCCGTGTCGGGGGCACTGACCACCGAATCTTTCCGGGCGCCGCTCGAGTCCTGCTGGCTGCCGGCTGCCCCCGCGTAGACAGAGCCCGTGGACATCTGGTGGGACAGGGCCACGCGGGGCGGCACCACCCCTCTGAGCCCGGCCTGGGGGCCCGAGCCAGGGGAGGCCGAAGCCTGGACCCCGGCGACGGAGGTGCTGGACTCGTGGGCCGAGGGCGGAGGGCTCTGGGTCATGGTCTGCGAGATCCCGTGAGGCAGGGAGGGCTGCGAGGCTGACAAAGGCCTCGACTCCTCGCTCAGGCTGCTCGTGTGCAGGGCCTGTGTGCTTTTGTGGACGGCCAGCCGCTGGGGCGAGCCAGGAGCCGTCTGCTGAGTCAGGGACAGCTGGGAGCCCGACTGACCCTGGGCGGCGTAAGGGAACGTCCGGCTGGCTCGGGGGCTTTGGGTCGGAGGGCTGGACACCACCGAGGCGAAGGTGCCGGCGGAGGTGGGCCGGGGCGGCTGCTGCTGCTGCAGCTGCATGTTCTGCTGCTGCTGGAGCAGCACCGGGGAGACGGAGAAGGGGCCAGGGACGCCCTGGGCGTACTGCAGGCGCCGCATCATCCTGGGCGAACCGAGGGCCACGGAGCTCACCAGGGGGCTGGCCATCTGGGGGCAGAAGCTCATGGCCACGGCCTGCTGCAAGGTGGCGATGGCCGAGGTCACCTGGGGCTGGACGGGCGCGTAGATGGCCGTGTGGTGCCGCAACTCCGCCTGCTGCACCATCTCCCGGTCGTACTTGACGATCTCCTGGATGATCTCGTTCTCCTGGTTGTTGAAGACCCCGGAGTTCAGGTCGTGCTGGACCTTGTGCAGCAGGATGGAATTCTTCTTCCCTGGGGGGTGGGGAAGGGGAAAAAAGGGGGGGGGGGTTAGTCACAGCCCCATCATTGTCCTTCTGCATGCGGCCCCCCAGCCCGGCTCTTTATCCCGCCCTGGCACAGCACCGACCCCCCTCCATGCCTCGCGTGTGCCTCCCTGTGTCCAGACCTTCTCCCCGTGACGTGTTTGACCGTTGTAGCTGGGTAACTTTAGCAGCTCCCCGGCCACGAGTCCTGGCACCCGACGCGGCACGATATTTTTCAGACAGTTTATTCGATGGAAAGTGCTGTTTGGGTCGACCCCAAACTGGTCGCGAATTTGCTGTGAAGAGTTCGGCCGATGACAAAAGGGAGGAGTGGGGAGGGTGCGGCTGCTTCCCCCCCCCCATACCCTTTAGCCCAGGGGGCAGGGAACCCATCGGGGATGTGCGAGAGCCAGGTTCAAATCCCTGCTCTGGGCACAGACCCAAAACGAACCTTTTCGATGAACCGAAACGTCTGGAAAATGGCAGAAGTGTCACCGAACAAAAGAAGCGTTATTGACCCAGCTCTGGCCTATGCGTGCTCGGCTCGTCCTCCCTGGGCTGTTCCTTACCGCCTAGGTTTTAAATGCCCCAGTGATCATAAATCAGCCTTCACTGACAGCCCTTCTTGCAGCGAGGACTGGGGCAGGAGGTGAGATTGAAGAGGGATTTGTGGGAGCGAAAAGGAAACTGATGAGGAGGTGTGCATGGCTGCAGCTAGGCCTCTCCCTGCCTCCTTAGTCCTCGGGTACCAAGGGCCGCCAATGCCCGAGCTGCCAGCTCTGCGGGAGGATGCGGGGCTGCCCCTGGGGTCCCAAAGAGGAGAAGGAGGCGGCAGGGGAGGAGGGAAATTGGAGGCAGGCAGAGGAGGCTCTCCAAGCCCAGCCTCTGCGAGGAGCTGACCGACCCCATCTCAGCACACAGGGGAGGGAGCGAATCTAACTGGCCATTCCCAGCAGGATTTGTGGGGCACGTGGGAAACCTTGTGGGGCGCTTTTAAAGAAGGGACAAGGCCCCTGAGGTCCAATGCCTGACTGAGATCCAGAGAGGTAACCACCCGTCCCCTGTCCCGGGGAGAGAACCCGGCACAGATAGCAAGGACTGCCCCCTGCAGCCCACACGCCACACTCTCCCTATTAACATCTAGTGTCCTCTATCCACCCCCCTCGCCTCCCGTTATCTTTGCTCCTCTGATGCTATCATTGCTTCTTCCCACTTCAACTGCTGCCCGGGACATTCTGGTTACGGGGCAGCCAAACTTCTGCAGAGCTCCTGAAACTCAGCTCCTCAGCGGCAACTGGGCCTCAGGAGTCAGCCCAGAGGCTGTCCCCCAGGTGGGTCCCCTTTCCATCGGAGGCCTGAGCCCAGGAATGATCGCAGGGGGCCTGTGCGAGCCAGCGTGAGAGGGGATGGGCCCCAGGAGTGTCTCCAGCTTGTGGATCGGACCAGCGTCCCTGCCCCCCGGTACCTATGCGGTCGAGGCGGTCGATGGCGACGGTCTCGAAGGCCCGTCTCATCATGGGGTGCTCCTCCAGCACTTCGTTGAAGTTATCCACCGAGAGCGAGTAGAGGCGGCAGTAGGTGTCGGCCCGGACGCTGGCCGTGCGGCGGCCCCTCGTCAGCAAACAGATTTCTGGTGGGGGGGGGGGGGGGGGAAGAGAGAGGGACCCAGATGTTACAATAAAACCGTGCCCGCGCTAGCTCCCGCCATCAGGAGACGTCACACGCTAACCCAGCCAGCCTCACAACCCTCCTGGGAGACACGGAACAGGCACAGAGAAGGAGCGACCTGGCCAAGTCTATGGCCCAGCCAGGAGTTTTGGCTCCTGGTCACAGCTTTAAACACTAGCCCACAGCCCCCTCCCGTGGGAACCAAGCGCTGTCCTAGTGGGACTTGCACAGAAGGTGTCACAGAGTGTGGGGAGACAAGGCCCTGCACCCCCGGCTTCCTGGGATTCACCATGACTCTCAGCCAGCCAGTAAAGCGGCAGGTTTATTTAGAAGACAGGAACACAGTCCAAGACAGGTCTTGCAGGTACAGACAACAGGACCCTCCCAGTTAGGTCCATCTTGGGGTCCCAGGGGCACCACAGCCCCATTGGGGGGTCAGAGCCCCGTCTGGGCTCCCCTCCATTACATCAGCCAGCTCCTGAAAACCTAACTCTCTCCAGCGTCTCTCACCCAGCCTCTCCCCGGCTCCACCCCCAGCCTTTGTCCAGTTTCCCGGGCAGAGGTGTCACCTGGCCTCCAACCCCTTTCCTGGGTTCTCACGTTACATGCTCAGGTATCTTCCCTCAAGGCCAGTCTCCCATCCCCCCAGTGCAGACGGTCCCAGACAACCTCCCCACTCAGCATTCAAAGGCCACATTAAGAACAGTCCCAGTTCATCACAGAAGGTCGCTCCCACTTACCAGGGACGCAGCACCCAGCCTGGAGAACGGCAGTGCCAGCCCGACGCTTACCATCCCCCCCGCGGCCGTGTCCACGGAATAAGGCCAGCGAGCGCGGCTCGACGGGCAGCGCCAGCCGGGGGCCTCCCGCGGGCACTCACCTCCGAAGTAGGAGCCATCCGAGAGCTTCATCTCCTTGTTGCCCTTGGTGAGGACGCTCACCACGCCGTGCTGGATGAAGTACATCTTCTTGCCGATGGTGCCTTCGCGGATGATGTAGTCGCCCGGCTGGAAGACCTCGAACTTCAGCTTGGTGAGCATGGCCGTGACGAAGTTGGGGTCCGCGTTGGCGAAGAGGGGCATGGAGGCCACCAGCTTGCGGCAATTGAAGTTCACAATCTCCTACGGGGGAGGAGAGGAAGGGGGTGAGCGGGGGAAGAGGCAGGCGGATAGGAGGCGGGGAGAAGGGGGAGCCTCGTTTCCCTCGGGCTCCTCCCCCCAGCCTGGCTCTTGGGGTAGGGCAGCCCCCGCCTCACTCTAGGGGTGACACCTGCACCCCGGGGGCATCCCCCAGCCCCCCAGGGAGGGCTCCTCACCTCCCGCAGGGGCTCGTTCAGCTCGCCCAGGATGCTGTCCTCGTCGAACATCTTGCCCTGGTAGCGGTGTTCGTAGTAGTCGTGGAGCTTCTGCCGGAAGTCGGCGGGCAGCTTGTGGAAGGACATGTACTGCTCCACTTGCTTGTACTGTCGGGGGGGGGGGGGAGGGACAAAACCAATCACAGGCGTTAGATGCAGCCCAGCCAGAGCCCAAACGTCCCACCCCCAAGCGTTTGGTTCTGGGTCGGCCCATCGCAGAGAGCGGGGCTATAGCGGGATGTCCCAGCAGCCTGGCGGTGTCGGGAGATGGGGCTCGGGGTCAGGGCCTCTCAGTTATTCAAACAGTGTGGGTGGGAGCTCTGTCATCTGGGGCCTTTAACAGAGATTGGTGCGATCTCAGATCCCCCCTGTCACAGAGTGTGGGGGGACACAAGGCCCTGCACCCCCGGCTTCCTGTGATTCACCATGACTCTCAGCCAGCCAGTAAAGCAGAAGGTTTATTTAGACGACAGGAACACAGTCCAAGACAGGTCTTGCAGGCACAGACAACAGGATCCCCCCCAATTAGGTGCATCTTGGGGTCCCAGGGCACCACAGCCCCTTGGGGGGTCAGAGCCCCATCTGCCTCCCAGCCATTCCACCAGCCAGCTCTGAAACTCCCCCTCCAGCGACCCCTCCCACAGCCTTTGTTCAGTTTTCCGGGCCAAGGTGTCACCTGGCCTCTAACCCCTTCCTGGGTTCTCATGTTACATGCTCAGGTATTCTCCCTAACGGCCAGTCTCCCATCCCCCAATGCAGACCATCCTAGCCACACTCCCCTGCCTTCCCAGCCAATACTCCCCACTCAGCATTCAAAGACCACATTAAGAACAGTCCCAGTTCGTCACACACACCCCCCGCCGCCCCTGTCCCGCAAACCCAGGTGCAGCTCAGGCCGATCCCTACCTGCGCCCGCATCGCAGCGTCACCAATGGGCGCCAAACCACTGGCACCCGGGGAGCTCTGTGTGCGCTGCTGGGTGCCCTTGCGGCCCTGATCCCTTTGCTGTCAGCTCCAGCTCCGAGCCCCATCCCAACAGCCACGCTCAGACCTCCCCCTCCCCAGAGAGAGCCACAAACAGAGCTGCTCGTCTTTGCCCATCCGTGCTCACTCCCAGCCCGTGACAGGCTCCCGCTCCAAGGACTCCAGCCAGCCGTTGGCAGGTCTCTCTGCCCGCCTGACACTTCTCCATGGCTGTCTGGCTCCTCCACCCACCATGACCTGTCAAAGTCCCCAGCACATGAGTTCTCAGCCCAGTGGTGGGGGGAAGTTGCTGCTTTTCACCAGTTCACCTTCATCAGAGACACAGCGACCTGAGCCCCCCCCAATGAACAGCATCGAAGGGGATCATAGATAGCTGGAAAGCTACAGATGCAGGAAAGCGAGGGGCGAGCAGCTAAGGAAGGGAAAGGCCAGGGGAGCAGGGGGGGCAGAGTTGGAATCCGCTCGGAGAATCAAGGGGTCTTGATCGAGGCGGAGGTGCTCAATCAGCCGGTCATTCTGGCTCTAGAGCAGCAGATGGTTCTAGCTCAGCGAGATGTTTTACTTCTAGAGCAGCACGTCGTTCTGGATCAGGAAGGTGGTTCTGGGGGTTCCAGCTGGGTAAGGCTCTGATCAGGGCTTCATTTGCAAGGAAAGAGGGGCCAGGGCTCAAGCAACTTTTTTTACTTTCACATCCTATGTGGCAAACCCAGAGGCGCCGGGGCTCTGAACCGCCAGGCCCAGAGGCGCCGGGGCT